GTTTGGTCTATAAGTTAGGGGAAAGCTCCACCATCTGTCTTGCCCACACAGTTCAAATTCTGCTTTTCCTCACTGAACTCGAGAGGCTGGTGGCTTTCTGCCCGGGTTTCCATACCTGGGAATGCCACCTCCTCCTCCTCCCCCTACTGGTATTGACAAACTCTTGTGAGCAATATGCTTCCTGTGTTTCTCCAGACTTGAAGCCTTTTACGGCACCTGAATATGTTTGCAGTTCCCTTCATGGTTTTTCAGAAGAGCTGCAGTTATCCCAAAGGTTTATTTACTGGCCTCACATAGGCTGGGATCCATCAGCAGCACTTCCCTAGACATCCTTGTGTCACCTTCATTGGCTATGTTGGGTCAGGAGGCAGAAAACTCTGCTTCCAGCCATCGGGATGCTGGGCCAGGCTCCTCCATGAGGGGCCACCCAAAAGGGTCTCTTGCCTTCTTGATTCAGGTGGCTCCTCCCAGATCTGTGTGGCTACACACTATTCTCAAAAAGAGATGGCATAGACATCAAAAGTATGAAATGTGGTTTTACACACACTCCTTGCTTAGTCTTCTGGTCTGTCCTGCTACTGTGCTTTGTCTCCACAGAGTGTGGCTCCTGGGTCTTCCCCTCCACTGACTGCTGTTTCACCGCCTGGTGGGTTTGTGTGTTCCTCCAAACACACCATGAGACCATCACAAACAGCTACTAACTCTCAGAGGAACTTTACCTCATGAGCATATTAAAAACCCTAGTGTTTCAAGTAAGAGACCTCCTAAGAGAACCCCATCGTGGGAACACTTGCTGCCATGGGCATGTAGTTTATTCCATTCCCTCTTTCCACTTTCCAGTGCTTTTTATTAAGTTCTTCTTACCTGCCTGTCTCCTAATATAGATTTTGTGTAGGATGCCAAGCCATCCTGCCTCATGTTTTCCCTGTTCCCTGCTCCTAGCCAAGGTTGCCTATGGATCCTGCTTTGAAGTTCTGTGACACATTGGCTGCAGTCAGTGACTCTTCCCTTGGCTGACATCACCTCAGGAGTCCCTCTCCAGTGGGCTGGGAATCACATTTGCCTCCACTTGCTTTGATCAAAATGAAATCCATTTACAAGCGCCCGATGAGCCGGCACAAACATGCCTGCAGGTTTCTAGACAAAACTAACCGACATAAAAATATGCCAGCTTTAACTTCAGTTGAGTCCTTAAACTAGCTAAGGAGATGGGAAGCCCAGATTAAAAAAAAAAAAAAAAATTTCAATTTATGAGCACTTTCTATTTGTTTAGCTCAAATGAATCATCAAAATCAATGTAAGATTTGGTTAAATCGAAGTAAGTGTCCATGCAGGGGTTTACCTCTGTATTTCAGAAAGTGAATTTAAAATTATGCTTCAAATCACTTTCTTGCTTGGAAAAGACCCTTTTCCAGAGACCATCTGGGCCCTGATTATAAACGGTGCTCAGCTCCAGCAGGTCTGGGTGAAGACGGTGGAAGCAGATGGATCTCAGTGATGCTGGAAATCAGACTCAGTCTCAGCACCTACGGCAATTCTGCCTGCACATCCTCCAAACCCCAATAAAACCTGCCTTTCAATGGCTGTTCCTTGGAGCTGAAGTGGGTGGTCTCTATGTTACAAAAGTTAATTTTTCTTTCTGATTATCTGGTGAGACTCTGCCTGTGTTTGCTAAGTTATTTTCCCTAACTCAATAAGCACAGCAGTTGCCTAGGTGTAAAAATGAAGGGTTTCAGCCCAAAAGATTACCTCTAAGTTTTTCCCTTTCAAGTATTTATAACTATTGAGGGCTATGACAAATCATCTTCGAAGTAAAAAAAAAAAAAGGAAAGAAGGAGGAGGGATTTTGCAGTCAAGTGACTTTGTATACTCCTTATTTTCTTTAAAACTTCAAGACCTACCACAAGGAGGACAGTTCCGACCTCGGACAAGGTGCAGAAAACAGTTTGAAATAAAATACATTTAAAGCATTAGGGAAGAACCTTCTCTGTGTGCTCAGTTCTTCACTTCTCACCCATGCCCCAGTTTCCTCTGGTGCCCCGAATCCATGTGTATGCCAGATGTGCACTGGCACTTGTACATATGCCACCTGCACCCCAACACGCATCCTCCTTCTTCTGCAAAGCCATCCATCAGCCCCCCAACTTCTCACCTGCAGGAAGGTGATAGTTTGAATTTATTTTGATACTTTCTCTTTTTTTTTTTGATTGGTTTTCTTTGCTGTAGAGCCTGTAATTTAGTTTTGCTGCCACAAATAGTTAACCCCAGAGTGGGAAGCTATGAAAAAAACTCCTGAATGTATTTGGCTATATCAACGCAGCAGACAGGTTTTGATACCCAGGTTTTCTATCTCCTGCAGGACCCAGAGAAATGATGGGTTATGAAATACCACAAGGACATTGGCAGAACTGTTGCCTTGCCAAAAAGAGTGTGCGTGCTTTCACAATGGGAAGAAAGCTCTGTAATAAAGAGAATTTGAACTTCATCATCACAAGGCATCAGATAACTAACCTGGTCCCTTCACTTTCCCATCCAATGGGATCTTATTCCCAGGCTAGTTTTATGTCAGCACAGGGACACAAAGGCAGAATTTATGTCCACTAGTGTGCATTAACTCCTGTCCTAACCAGTACTAATTACCGCTAATTATGTGGGACAGTGTTAATTCTTTCAGCAGCATTACCGCTGGCCTTACGCTTCTGAAAGTGCCTTTGGGTGAGGCAGCTCACTTTGAAAAGATATTTATGTGGGGAATAAATACAGAGTAGCTAATACACTGTAAATTTACACCACTGGATAGCAGGTTTTAAACTCTCTATGTCTCTGGGTGTGAAGACAGACAAAACCTTGAGTAAGAACTACTCAATAGAAAAGGTGGCAGGATCACCCTGCGTGATCTTGGGAAAGTAATTTTGATCTGGCATTTCTATCCTGTAAAACTGGAAAAATAATATGTCCTTGACACTCTCAGGGGTATAATACTTATTTTCTCTACCTTGCCAATCATTCTCTTTGCTTTCAAAAAATATTCTCCAAACCCTAATTGTTTTTATATGTTTGCAGTATAAGACATAAAAGACATAAACCCATCATATTTTTCTATACTGTATTTTCCCCATTGTGCTGTACTGTTAACATGAGCACTTTGCTGTGCAGAGGCTTGGCTATTTGCTGAAAGGATGAATTAAGACATGTAAAAGGCTTCAGTATCTTGGCTGAGTGGCACCACAGAGCTGGAAGGTATCATTAAGCTAAATGGTTCCTTTCTGCAGGAGTGAGAAGCCCAGACATTTTTCAGTGGATTAAGAAAAACTGTTTCACACTCCCCTGTGACCCCATCCTGCAAATATAGGGCAGGGGGCCACAGCTTTGAATCACCAAATTCCTTTCACTCCCTTCGGTTTGTGCCTTTCTCCCCTGATGTCTAAGTCAGGGTTCAGCTTGGGAAATCAGGAGACATCGTATGAACCCGGTCCCCCCTGGCATCAGCATCTCTGCAGTTCAGCTTGATTGTTTTTTTCCAGAGTCTGCATAGTCTTCATGAGGGCTCAGCAACATGGTCCTGGGTGGATTTGTTGGTATGGTCATCTCCTGCAGCAAGAACACTAAGTCAGGAGGCTTTGTTGTTAGACCACTAATGTCTGGTCCCTTTGACCCCAACGAGGGGCTGGATCTGTCAGATCCATGGAGAAAGGCCAAAAATCATCGCAAAGGACCTGGCTCATTCACTGTCAGACAGTTTAAATGGATCCCTGATGATTCCCAGCTCTTGTAGGTTTTCCTTAGTGGCAAATCATGGTGTGCTGGTGTCAGGGGTGTGCTGGTGCTGACAGATGAATGATGTTTCCAAATCTGCCGGTGAAATGCTGACTTGGTGCCCAGCCAGGCAGCACGAGCTGCTGCTCCTCCACATAACCAGTGCAAGCACCAATCCAGGTGGTCTTTACCTCTGAGGGTTTCCCATCTTTGGATGGGCCATTTGCCCACAGGTCCCTCCTTCAGTCTCACTGGCAGTTGGTGATGTTTTGCCGCCTTCTCCCACCACTGGAATTTCATTGTTGCTGGATTTTCCCTGGTTAGTGGGCGGATGGTCCAGGCAGACATGACAGCGCTGTCCCTGAGAGCCTGCTCCTGGAGTGCTGGTGCACTGATGATCTCTGGGGCTTCTAAGAGATGATCTCTCCGCGTCCATATTTCCTTAAGACATCCCAAAAAAGTGCTTCTCCTCTTCCTTTTTAGAGTAATAGGTTGGAAACCCTTTCCACTCACCACACTGGAAACACTTTTTCCAGCCTTTTTTGCTTCTCTCGTAGCAATGCCCATGTCAGGCTTGGGAGTCTCCAAACTCAGGCAGGGTGCCTCTTGCCCAGGCTCCTTTCTCCAGGGCCTGTGTACTATATTTGGGGCTGGTTCATCCTTTCCCTGACCATTCAGCTATTTGGAAGCATTTTTCTGAATTCCTCTCTCAACTAAATGTCCAGTAAGCTGGAATCAGATGTACCACAAGTGCTTTTTTGAGTAAGTTATCTTTATATCTGCAGATGGATGCCAAGGACCTTGACCCTGCATAAAGCAGCTATCCATCTGATTTTTGGGTTTTAGGTGAAAGAACAGGAGTCTTGTTTGTCCAAATACAGCAGTATGCAAACATACATCAGTGCAGGGCCTGGACATTTGACTGTCTCCTCCTCTGCTCTCCCCTCCTACTTTTACAAATAAAAGGCAACATTTGGCCTTTGCAATCATATTGAACTTTTGCACTCACTTCTCTCTCAATTCCTAAAATTTTAGACTTAATTAAAAAAAAAAAAAGAAAGGGGGGGGAGGCTGCCTTTTCAGCAAGTTATTTTCCTTTTCCACTTTTCCTTATTTGCTCATGACATTTTCTCACAGCAGTTCCCTGCAAACCAGCACCTGCAAAGGCCCAGGTGAGGGGAATGGGACAGCCAATTCTCCCACTTCCTCTAGTTTTAACTCACAGTTGTACTGAATTCAGCAGGGTTACTCTGATTTATGGGGCTATAAGCAGTGGGACAGACCTCTGTCCTTCCCTACTCCCTGCTGGAGAGGCAGGGAGAGACAAGCAGCTTCTGAGAGGCTTGTTGGTTTGTGTTCATTAACAGCAGCTGTCAGACAGCTCTCACTGAAGCTCCCCATTCTTTCAAAACCATCACGGTTTTCTATTTCACATAGAAATATGCAGCAGTTTCGTTTGTATAAAACCTGCATGAATAAAAATTTAATCTAAGGCTATCACCGCTCTAACAGCAATAATTTCTCTTAAAGGCTCCATACGAAGAATACTAAATACTGTCTATAAATAAGATTGTATTTAATAGAGGAGAGAAGCAATTTAATAAGCTCACTAGTAAAGTCTTCCCTGCCACTTTCAACCTCAATATAGGTCTTTTTTCCTGAGCAAAACTAGTTTGTTACAAGGAAAACTCTGGTCCTGTTAAACTTTGATTTTTTAAGGTGAAGTCATTCAGTTCTAGCTTTCCTGTCCAAAAGGAAGAGGAAAAATATCTACTTAAAGGAAATATTAGTTAATCAGAGGACATCCCTTTCATAATAGAAGCTACTAAGGGATTTAAAAGCACATTCTAATTATAATAGTTCCCTAATTATCTGCCTAACATCTCATTTTTCTGTCTAATACCACTTTTAATTATATAGTACCTTTTTTTGCCCATCACACAACTGAAGTACTCTATTTTACTGAAAATAAATCCATTTAACTGGCGATGTCAGAGGAGAAATATTGTCATTGCACCCTGGAACGTGCACACTGTCTGGGAGGGAAATGCCTTGCCAGTGGTTTTGGATAAAGCTCCTGGATGTGCCCTTTAGAAACAGTTTCATTTAAAGCTTTCCAGGTTTTCTCAAGCAAAAGAAAATGTTCTAAACCACATGGCACTCTGCAAGCGTGTCCGATTGCAAAAGTTTTCACGTATTCAGCTTTGTTTTCCAAACTCTTGCAGCTTGGTCTCCCTTTCACTGATGTTCAGTGGGATCCTTGCCACCGGCTGATGGCAGAATAGGATTTGGCCTTTGAACCAAGCCAGCATGCAATTTGCAGAGAGGAAGCAATATTTGAGCTGTGTTATCTACGAGCATCTGGTCATCAAGATCTCGCTCGGCGATTAGTGAGCCAAGAGGAAACCCTATGGAGGGGGGAGAGGAAATCCCTCACGCGGGGTTCCCATTTCCAGCCCCGCCATGAGTTTCCTGCCCCATCCTCGAGCAAATCCCAGCTCTCTCCACTTCCCAAGAATAAAAAAAAAAAAAAAAAAAAGAAAATAATTACCCTTCAGGGAAGTTGTCAGGCTTAATGGATGTTTATAAATCGCTCGAACAAAAGGTGCTATGTCAGTGAAAAGTGCTCATCCCGATGATTATTCAAATGCTCATTAAAATGCATTTTGCTCTATCCTTTCCCTTGGTTTGTGTGGGAGGCAATTGAAAGATTTAGTCTTTGTGGGAAAGCAGAAGAGCTCGAGAGCTTTCCTTTGGGTGTGGGAGTGGCAAGTTTGGAGAGTTAAGGACCTCTGGCATGCAGGTAGGGTTTCATCCAAGGCCTTTAGGCTCTCATCCAGGCTGCAAGCTCCAACAGACCAAGGACTGGCAAGTTCCCTCCAGGAAGACAAGGCAGTGATTAATGGTACCAACCCCTGCTCAAATTTGCATGTATCATTTCCTTAGCTTTGCTCCTGATGGAATTAGGGATCATCCTTTAGCGAAAATTATTCTTAATGTGTATTTAAGCATTAAAAATGAATATGCGTGTGCGATAAAACTTAGGGAATAATTTATAAACAGCTAACATAACGTGAGATATGGAACAGCAGGCTGCCCTGCAAACCTGTGCAAATGCATGTATAAAGCCAGGATGCTTCTTCCCTCATGGATGTTTCATTATGTCTCGCTGACCCTTTTGTGGCAGCTTGGTCTGCCAGGTTCCACTGGCATTTCCAGGTATTAAAAGCTGAAGAAGACTTGGTATATCTTTATACTTTTCACTGCATCAGACAGCAGCTTGGCACTGAGCTGGCAGTCTAGATGCAGTATTTTTCACCCTCTGCAGCTCCATAAAGCTTCATGTGCAGCCACATGCCCTCAAATAGCATCCACAATGAACAGTAACTCTTCTATCTGCTGACTTCTGAATCAGCAGCATTAGGCCTGGATAGGCAAAACACAGATTTCCTGGGGAGGAGTTTCTATCCAAAATGCAAAGAATTTTATCCTTTTCGGTCAAAGGGACTATGCAATAGATAATATTATTTCTAATAAAGTGTGGTTACTTGCTCCTATCATCATGTTTACAGGATGGGAGATGCTCTTGCAGGGCACTGTGACTGCTTCCAAATTCAATTCTCTCCACTTGCCCTTGCAGTTGTCACAAAGAGCATCAGTAGCGACTCCTCCACCAGTTTTTTGACTTCTACTTTTTTCCCCCCTCACCTGGGGGATGCTTTATCTGTCTTGTCCTTCCTTGCCCCTTGCTCCTGCTGCAGGCAGCTGCTGGGAGGAACTCAGCCTCCTCCAGTGTGTTACACAACCATGTGAACTGGCACTTCTTGCATCTCCTCTGCAGAGGCTGGAAGAGACCGTGCAAAGTGTGAACCAGGGGTGAGTCAGATTCTGTGAATTTCTCTCCTCAATGCAAGCCCAGTCTGATCCTGACCATACCCCAGCCTTTCCTCTGTACCCATCAGCAAGCAAGAACCATGCTTGGTGTAACCTTGTGCTCCACAGTCAGCCAACAAACTACCAGGTTTCAATTTTTTTGTTTGTTTGTTTGGTTGGTTTTTGTTGTTGTTGTTGTTTGCTGTTTTTTTTGTTTTGCAGCTGGTGCCTTTTTCTCTCTGGTACATTTGTGCCTTCCTTGTGTTACTCATGTGCTGTCTGATCTGTGTTCTTGCAGACTTTGAGGTGGTCTTCTGTACCTGCCCCTCTCTCATCCAGGACTTGGATGTGATGCACATCAAGAAACTGAAGGAGAGCAGGATGTGTCAGTCGGATCTTTCCTGCCCTCCTCTTCTTACTCCAGACTTGTCTTCATCCACTGACCACTGTGGCTCTGCACCAACTCTACCACCTCCCAGCAGATGGAAAGAGATGCTTTTGTTCAAATATTGCCTGGCTCATTCTTCTTTAATAAACTGGTTGTTTAGTTTAATTTTTGATCACTTTATTCCTCGGTTAATTCAAATAACCTCTGCTGGGCATACCAGTCATGAGACTGGCTACTCTTGTAAAAGATTCAGTTGATTTAATCAATTTTACTAGTAAAGTGAACTTTATCAGCATGCTAAATTAGCCTGTGCAGAGGGCTTATGCTCCACGAGACTGAGGACAGGGGCACCATGACCTGGCAGGATAGGTGGACTGATTATAAGAGCATGTGGGGACAAATCCAGTCGCACCAGCATCCCCAAAGCAGACTGTGATTGCCTAGGAAAGGCCTAAAACCCATGCATCCCCTAGCAAGTCTGTGCCTGGTGTGACACTTCAGCTAAATCTTGCACGTGCCAACGCACACATCCTTCCTTGTCAAGTAATTAAAATGCAGTGGGCAAATGATGGAGGAGCAGGAAAGTGGGGATACTTAGCACTTCAAGCAGTGGACAGGAATTTTTCTTCCCATCCCCTTCACAGGTGTGCAATAGAAATGTGATAGTCACTTAAAGCAAAACTTCCCTACAGATTCTCAGCACTGGTCTAAATTTCAGTTAAGGTGCTTGACTTGGCACACAACACTTTGCTATCACAGCTGTGCTTTACATCCCATGCTTAAGGCCTGAAAACCTGGTCCTGAGCTCCTTGGATGCCTCACCCCACCCTTCTGCAAGAAAGAGCTATAATACTTTGTAAGTTTTTCTACCACCCTCCCCAACTCTCAAGTCTGACAACTTTAAATAAAAGAAGATGTTTTTGTACAAAAAGGTGCTAATAAAATTATTCTGGTTGGTACACAATATGAAGGGCGACTTCAACTTTGGAAGACAGAGGCCTGTAGATGATATTACTGACAAGTAAGCAAGAGAAACAATAGATATTCCTGTAAAGTTGCCTTGCTGTGGCCAATAGGATATGGTAACACTGATGCAGGCTTATCTGCTACTTAATTACCTAGAAATCAGCCCCCATGTAATTCTCATCTTTGCGTAGAAGCCTCTGTCCTACCAATATTAGGACCCAATAGCATTGTCCCACAGCTGACACTTGTCTGGAGCAAGGCTCAGATCATGCTCTTCACAGAATATGGACTGAACCTCAGCCAAACTGCAGATGCAAAAGAGCCTTACATGGACTGGGAGGAGCTTCTGCTTAATGCTTAAAGATATGTGTGGTGGGGACACAGGGGCAGATACAGCAAACCCCACAGATGCTACAAAATCATCAAGAACATGAGCTGAAAGTGCAAACTGAGGGGGTATTTTATGCTGAAACTTCCCTCTTCATCCCTACAGCTTTCATCCCAAAACAACAGTAGAGGAGGGAGCCCTCGGTCCTTCTCAAGGCCTCCTCCTTTCTTCTGTATCCTCTCGACCCTTCTCTGCCAAATCTCTTGAGGCAGTTTGAGGTCATGTCCTCATCTGAAAAATTACTGTTAGAGACCAACCCTTCAATTTGTTCCAGGACTTGAGGAGTGAGATGGAATTCTTTCTTGCCATAAAGATTTTCAAGCAGAAACTCTCTTGGCAGAAATGTATGGGTTTCCTGGCCCTATCTGCATTTGGATAGGTTATGTTACACAGGATGATGCAATCCTTATCTATCCCAACAGAAGCACAAACTAAGAAACTCCTTGTTTGTTCTGATGGTCAGACATGCTTTTCTCAGAGATTGCAACTTATTCTATGCTTTTGTTGTTATTACTCAAAATATTCTCTTATAGATAAAATCTAAAATTCGACTAGTAAGGACAAATGAATACCACTATTTCTGCTCTTTAACATATAAGTATCATTAAATCCCTCTTATTATCATTCCCACCAGTTTTCCAGCTTGGAAGATGCTGACATCCATTTTCCTGCAGAAATCAAGGTGAGATGTTCTGTCAACAAATACCCCAAACTAATAATCTCTAGAATCACCTGCAAGTTTCAGAACAAAAATTAGACTGACCCACATTCATTTTTTCACTACAATCAGAAGTTTGCCAAATGTCTCAAGAGCTCACATCAAACCCAATGGCTGTTTGTCACTTTGCAGCTGCTGAAGTAACCCTTTCCCTACAAAGTCTCAAGTTTGGACCCATGAATTTTGTCCATGGCTTGAATTTACAGATGTCTTGGTTGTCCAGGGGCAGAGAGTAACACTTCTATGCACAGTCATTTCTGCTTTGCTAAATTATTTGGAAACTGCACTTCACGTTAACAGATGCTTTTTGCACATACCCAGAAGTTGGCAGCACTTCCAAGATGGTATCCCAAAACTAATAGCACAGTAGAAGACGATTATGTGATCTTCAAAATACTTCACATTTTTCAGAGAACAGTGTCTTTACTCCTGCTCAGCACGAATCACTAGTGGAATTTATCCTAAGCATCCTCAGACCTCCTGACAAACTCCTGCTGCTTTTACAGGATCAGGCCCTTTCTTCTCCAGATGGACAAACTTCGTATGCAGAAGAGTGTGCAATATTGTTTTCCACCATCACAGAAATTCTTCTCACTTTGCTAGAACTGACATTGTTTCTTAAGACCAAATGAAACTAGACCCTTCTTGAAGCCTGAATTTCAAGGGGGGTTTTCACACTTAAAAAGTACTTGAGAAAAAAAACCCCTGTCCCTCACTGCCTAGTTAGTGCAAGAGGAAGGTGATAGACAGACATGATTTCCTGGATCTTTTTCCAAGGAAGGGCTGGAGCACTAAAGGAGAGACCCTAGAGGCGGCTCTCCAAAGCTGCAATACATAGTTTTATACATTACATATCTCCAAAGCCCCCCAGTACATATTTTCACCAAACAAACCCTAAACTAACCAAACTGCCCAGCAAAAAACCTTACAAGTTTCAGATGTTGCTGCACAGGGACACCTATGGAAATATTAGAACAAGCCACAACTAGTCTGTTAATCACTGCTATTAGAAATGAATTTGTCCTTATGTGGGTCTTTTCACCCACAGATATATCAAAGGACTAAAGGACACAAATGTTAGCTAAACATCACCATGTCGCTCCTACAGTGGGTGACTGGTGGGGGCTGGAGCAGTTTGAGAGATCTGGAACTTGGCACGGGGGATAAGGCAGCAACTTGCCGGAGATATTAAACTCTGGAATCAGTGCCAGAAGCAGGAGCCAAACAAAGCCTGCACTGGAATCAATTTTCAGGCTTTTTTGGGATGGTTCTGTTTCACTTATTTTTAAAACAAATATGTATTTGAGGAGCTGCGCTCATTATGGTGGTTTACTTACAGGAGGCAGAGCTCTGTCCATGGGTAATTATATGTGGGTGTCCCATCGGAGGCTCTGCTATGTGGCAGATTTCACCCGTGGAGCATTCAAATACAAACACTGGAACAAGGTCTTTTTCTGCAATCCTGTTTGCTTTTTGAGAAATGCTACTGATGGAGATGGAAAACTCTTTCCCATCACCCCAAAGGCCAAGAGTCCCTTCTTTTTCATGCTGGTCCCTATTACGGACCTCCCCCCTCCCCCTAATAAATCAGTTAACTCACCTATTTTTCATAATACATCCAGCTGCCTTACAAAAAGCCAGTGAATTATTCTGGGGTTTAGTGCAACCGCTGAAAATATTTCAAAGTGAAAAGGAATTGACCCAACCTACTGTGCACATTATTTATTCAGAGGTAGTACAAAAACGAGTCCCTGATGTTACTAAAACAAATCCTAATAAGTACAGAGAACATCAATTACAGGCTTCCCTTTATAGTCCTATATATCTCTTTCCCTTTCTAGAGATAGTATCACATGCGAGGGGGCACTGTGTTGGCTTTCAAATCTATTGAGCTTTCATAATTATAACCTCCATTTTAACCTCTTTAATAGGACATACTATACCATTTCACGTTATGTTCCTTGAATCTCAACCAACCCTAGGAGAAAGTGGCTTTAAAGCTCGCTTCTGATAAGATGTGCATAAAACGGGAAATATTAAGCATTCATAACCTCGTGCATACATTACATCAGGGTGCCAAGCACAAGGAAGAGCAAAGTAAAATATATCTTGTGAACCTCACTCAGAATCCTGTTTTTAGATCAGTAAATACTCAGCATGCACATATCCTGACATAATGAAGCCAGGGAAATATTAACTGCAGTGGAATAGCTGGAATTTTTTTTTATTTCAGTCTGTATGGAATGTCCTTCTATTTAATCAAAAAGCTTGGAATGATTCCTGATCTATCATTAAAAATTTTAAGGACATGATTAATTCCATTGTTTAAATGCTGTTTTATTACCATAAGAAACTCTCATAAATGATCCCACACCTTTCTCTGTGATCATTTCCTTCTAAAGTAATATACTAATTAATTTCAATTAAATATATGTAAAAGAAGATGTATTTTGAAAAATGCTTCTCCCTTGCCATTTGCTAATATAGTGAAAAAGTGTAAACCTTGGAACATTTAGCATAGAAAATATTAATTTTTGGTAATTTCTCAAGGGGACAATTTATTAAATGAAAGGCTTTTAACATTAGCTAAAAGCAGCCCCGTAAATCATGGGTGTCATCAAACTGCTTCATCACTTCATTAATTTAAAAGATTATTATATGCGTAACTGACATAATTTTGAACAATGTTACATGGTTAATTTATTAATGTAGAAAAGCAGAAATGACATGCTGAATTGATTTATTATTATAATTGTATAATTTTAGGACTTTTCTTTGTGACTTTCACTAACAGAGCAAACGATTCAGGGTGAAATTGTGACATTATTTAATTTTTTTATATTTTTTTTTTATAAGGCAGTGATGTCTGCAAGGACTTTAGAAGAGGGGGTCCAACGTGGCTTCTTGGTGTTTCAGTAGGAGCTGTTGAAAGACCTCCTTTACAATCCATAGTCACCTTGTGGTTTTAATAAATTTAAAGCACTCTTTACCCCATTCAGTAGTCAAAAAGAGATTTAAAAGTTACTGCAGTTATATTAAAAACCTGATTCCGACTAGGCACGCTTAAATGTGCATATCCCTAAGCTCTTCATG